TAAAGAGTAAGCTACGCGGAATGTATCTAATAATTTTTACCTAATTCGCGGAACTACAAAATTTTTAAAAGACATTGAAATTGACATCTAACTAGACTTTTTTTAAGCCAGTACTTGAGTATAATGACATCCTTATATTGAGGTAGCAAACATTTATGAATGAATAATAGGAAAATTATTAAAGTAGACAATTATTAGGTAAAATAGGTACGTAGGCCTTTCTGTTAAATAATCTGGTTCCCTGATATGATAGCTTACTAGGGTTGACAAAATTTTTGGCTTTGATAACTAATGATATTTTTACGGGGTATTTTGTAACACGTAGTATACATGATATTTGGCGGATATGAAGTTATGAAGGAACAATCATTTTATATGAGTTGTTTATTTAATTTTATGAGATGTTTATATGAACTCAGAGTCCGTTTAGGGTTGAGTGATTATAAGAGTCATTAGATATAATAACGTGCCACTACTCTAGAAACAAGAGGTTATAGTTTTAATTGCACTAAATAGCGATATTCACAGCCTTTTGGGGATTGAAGGAAAAAAAATTGGGTTGGTGGTACAGAATATTATTCTTTATCTATAGAAATTTAAAAAAATATCGAATACATACAGACCTACTCAGCGTCTTTACCGCATTAAAACACTAAAGACTTTACAAATCCCAATCGTTAATTGCGCCAAACTCCACACGATAGCCTCAACACACGAATAAGCAGGGTGCTAGTACTTATCCAGACTCACAATGCACTTCGCTACGAACTATGGAGGTAACTTAATCATAATTTCTGTTTCTTCTTGTATTATAATAATATATTATCGGTATATTTTATATTATCGGAAACTTGTACTCTGACAGCGCAATTATAATACTCAATCACGTAAACAATACATTTTTTTCCCTCTGTTTGCACTATTTGTGTGATATCATATTAATTGCAATAATTACATTCGAATTATCGAACAACACGCGATCTTATAAATCAAAATAAAATGCAAAATTTTGCTGAATTTTTATTAAACGCTTAGCAGATACATTCAAAGGCCTGCTGCTTTAGATTTAAGATCGAGATCGGCTTGGCAAGATCTTGATTAATTTTTACCGGAATTATGTGTTTCTAGCAAATCGGAAAACGTAATAACTGAAAGATATGAGTAAATTATTCTCTTCCTACGGCCTTTGTACTCGGAAATGTGTGCCGAGCAAAGGGAACTTATCGTTAAGTGATGCAGCTGTGATTGTTCGTATTAAAAATAACAAGTTTAAATTTTATAACTTACTGAAACGATTTTTGCTATATCGTTTTCTTTTATCTTAATATTTTGATATAATATTTCTTACTGGTGGTAGGACCTCTTGTGAGTCCGCGCGGGTGGGTACCACCACCCTGCCTATTTCTGCCGTGAAGCAGTAATGCGTTTCGGTTTGAAGGGTAGGGCAGCCTTGTAACTATACTCGAGACCTTAGAACTTGTATCTCAAGGTGGGTGGCGCATTTACGTTGTGGTTGTCTATGGGCTCCAGTAACCACTTAACACCAGGTGGGCTGTGAGCTCGTCCACCCATCTAAGCATAATTTTTTTTATATATAATTGAAATTTTGATTTGATAAAAAGTGTTTAAACCTACATAGCTTCCGATTTCTTATGTTGCCGTCGAATCTTTTTTATTGCTTAGAAAGATGAACGAGCTTACGGCCCACCTGGAGTTAAGTAGTAACCGGAGCCCATAGACATCAACAACGTAAACGCCACCACCTACCTTGAAATATGAGTTCTACGGTCACTTTTTTTTATTTGTTTATCTGTTAGTTTTTGTTTGTTTTATTGAGTGTATGATTTATAATGACATTAATGTAATTTTTAAGAGCATCGCTAACAGCTTTAAAAAAATGAGTCGTCAGTTTGTGTATAAAAAAAATACTATCTATATCTTACTATTATTACTGAAAAATATATAGAACGAATCTGCGTAATCACTACGCGAAATCATAAACACATAAGCGTATGCTTAAAGTATTCTATTATATTCCTATGAGAACATTCTAGACTACTCTTTTCAAAGCACCACACCTGACATACCTCGGCCTGCATTACAATAACAGAGTGTAACAGTTAACAAACGGTTGAATGCACCATTAAGTCTTTTGTACGAATATTCGACACACTAATACGCCACGCATTATTCAAATTTGGTGAATCGTGAAGGTTTTTAGGTTTAGGTTCTGTAATGGCTGCAAAGAACTGATGCGCTGATGATTCAAACCACGAAAAAAAAACTGCTTACGCAAGAGAAATCTCGCCCATGACACTAGTACCCAACTACATGTATGCTTCGTATATCAAATTAATGAACTATGTATATAAAAAGGATATAGTTTATACAAACCGACGCTTGAAAAGCAAACGTGGCTAAGCGACAATGCGTGAACTTTACAGTAGACTAATTTAAAGTAGAAATACCTGAAAAAAATTCTATTTTAACGCATCAAGCTGTAGGATTGAAATGATTTTAATAGACCTAGAAATATTTATTTTTTGCGAATCGAATATGGTTATTGCCTATGATTTATGTATAAAGCAGTTATTGTCGCTTAGTTACGTTTGCCTTTCAAGCGTCGAAATGGGGTGCATACCATTATTAGATATTTTTCGGTGACATTATAAACTCAATTATGGCCCAGAATGTAGAGAATGCCTACGATTTTGAATTTCCAGTTGAATTTAGTCAATGGAACATATCATCAATGACCTACTACAAATTACCATTTGGTTGTCAGACGCAGCCCGGTTATTTTAAAAAATTGTCTATATTTTAAACTAATCTCTAGGGTTTGTAGGCGCTTCAACAGTGAACCAAATTGATAGTTTTAGATACCACACAATCAACTGAGAAAAGAAGACCTAAATGACGAAACAAAAACTACTTCGCGGCCACAATAAGTAATATGCTACAGCATATCCGTACGAACTCACAATACAACCTAGCGTAAAATCAGTTGACATTTTTGACAAAAAAACCTTAATATTACACAACCAAAATCACAATTGGACCGTCGAATATAATTCTTTTATTGTATCTCGACGTGTTTACATAAATTCTGTGACATAACACGATCTATCTGTGTTTCAAAACCAACCGTTCGTTTCACAACGTTTTGATCAGCCTTGGCTATTACTAAATTTTCAAACACATACGATACGTACACTATATTGATATAATATGAATAATTTACATTTAATTACACGGTCCCATGATGTTTGATTGGAATTCTTAAATTGAGTTATTCGTAATTAAGAACGATCAAACATATTTTAATTAAGATATTTTTTAAAAACCAAATGGAATTGTCCTTTATTTTTAGCATGATTATGATACTACTAACAATTTAGCTATAATGAGTTTCGACTAACATTAAATTCGAATAGAGTTATACTTTCTGGGATTTTTTATAAGATAAGTTATTTAATTAGAAGACATTACACATTAATCGATCAAAGCTATGATATTACTTATGCTATCGATGGATGGAATGCAGACGAGATTTCGCATATTCAGACTTCTAACACCAAATTCTTTACACTGGTGACAGGCGTATTGATAATTGTAACCCCAAACGTGTAGGTACTACCAACTTTCCTATATATGCTCCAAAACAGTCATTCATTCTGATCACTAACCCGGATTAAGAATCGAACTTTGTGCTAATGAAGTCAGATATTGTGGGTCCTGACAGATACTATACTGTACATTTCCTGCGTCTTAGTTTGTAGTATGAAAAGCTTGGTTTCATTCACATTAACACGAGCTTTAGCTATAAAAAGAATCAAGTAGATATTAACATAAATAACTTTGTAACTTACAGAGCCCTCATACAGATTTAGTTTGTTAAAAAACCCCACTCCATGCACCGTGTAAATATCACGTTTGTAATTTAAAACATCCTGTATTTACAAATCGCTCGTAATATTATTAAATTGTAAGCGCACTGCAAGCTCTGCGCGTTCGTACGCAGAAATTGGGTCAAATATTTGCACGGATATGGACCTGAGATTACGCTGATCAAGACAAATTACCTAAATAATTCCGAGACATTAAAATTATTTTCTTGTCCTTTATTAAATTGATAATTATATGTATTTTCAGGGAACAGTTTTCATGATACCAAAAGATAGCCCAAATCTTTAGTTTACGGTTGCCGACGAAGTTTTAATTAAAACGCAACCTTTGTCAGAGGTTGTGAGCATTCATGAACATACATCGCGTTTCGTTAATTACACGAATTTACATACAACTGAAACAGCACACGAATCCAATTTTGATTCTTGAAACTGTAGAGCTAAAAGTTAAAATAAGCTACCACTACATTGGACACAAAAGTAAAACATTTTATTGACATTGAATTTTTTATTTGACAAATGGAAAATGAATCACAGGTGCTGCCGGGTTGAACGCACGATTGTTTGTACGCATCGAATTGTTTCAAATTTTCGCGGCTGTCCTACATCCGAAGACTCAAATTGGTCGAAATTTGAATATGTATAAATATACCAGTGTTCGAAATAAGCAATTCCACAATAGTTCGGATACTATGAAGACCTAAGTGAACATATTTTACTGACTGTAAGTTTACGTGCGAAATGTTCATATTCAACATAAATTTGAATAACGCATACACGAATGCAATAATAACGACTTTAGAAAACGCAGCGGAATGTAGAGCTACACTTTCGTAGCTCGGGTAGAGCGCTACGCATACAAAAGACTTCAACGGGGAACTCTCCTAACAAAACAATCATATTTTCATCAAATCATGCTTTCCTTCAAACATATCAATTGAATATATTATATTATTCTCTAGTTCAATATTATAAAATATTTGGAAGTTTGACGTATTTGCATAACATTTAAAATTTGTCAGTGATATAAACGAAACAAAAATATGTACTAGTTATGTAGATATATTTTTGCAGTATAATAAATCTGAAACTCACTTTGGGAATCGGAGAAAGTTGTTGAACACTGGCACACAACACTGAATCACTATACGTTATTCGACACGTTTTTTATTTATTTTATTTTTATATATATGTTCATACGGCGCACTGAATGCGCGTCCGCTTCGGACGGTTGACGGCAAGAGACTACGTGAGTTTCTCCCACCAGCGCGGCCCGAAACACTAATCACCTTGCTATCGCTGCCTTTGCGGCGACAGAGTGCATAAGATGTAGCGATTTGAGGTTTTTGCTAGATTTATTGTCACTTTCAATATAAGTCTTATCTTTTTGAGTATGTTACTGTAATTGTTGATTGATAAGCGTATATTTTTATGAATATAGACCATCGATATATTAAATAATAAAATTTTATTTTATGAAAACGACATGTGTATTTAATTTAAAAATAAAATTTGTGAACGGTACAAGTAAGACGGAATCTACGACAAAATATATACTAAAAATATTTTATTAGTAATTATATATATTAGTAGTAATATATTATTTTGAATCTGAAAAGATCGCTTTAGCTTGTGATTTACAAATCGTGTAACACAAGGTGAGACCGTGTGAGACGGATCTGAATATTATGAGGGCGAGTCATTTCTCCCGCGATACCTATAGTTAAGGCCACATAAATGACCACCTGAGGCCACAGAAAGGACAATAACATAAAACGTGACGTCGCGCGTATATCGACTCTGGGCGATTAATCGTCAATGCCGCGTGATTAAGATATTTCGGAATATTTACACACAACGATATGATGCAACTTAGATGTCGACTTCCGTTCGCATCGAACAACCGATCGTTCTAAGAACATAACAGCTGATCTTCCAAGAAAATATGGATCTCAAACCCATATCATAGAGTAGGCGTTAGTCTTCGCATTATCCCCTCTATACCCTCCGGCATACTACGTTCCAGCTCCGCGATAGAAACAGTCATTTTAAAAAGACACAGCTTATAGGTAAGCAATTGAGATAAGGTTCAAATTTTACGAGCGATGCTCTTAAGAAAATTCAGACCCAAAAATTTGACCAGTCATTATATGATCTGTATTTAAGAAGTGGGAATACCCACAACATAACAACGGCCTACGTATAACATTAAAAGTCGATACATTATGAATGAATTAGTGAAATCATTACCAAGCAGTCACTATCGGATTTTGTTACAATATATATGTAATTAGTAAGCCTTCATCTTTACGCCTCAATAAGAATATTATATGGAAATTTGAAAAAAAACTGTACTTTTTAAAATAAAAATCATTATCAATATGTGTGAAAAGATAAAAACTTTTACTTATTTTGGGAATCTACGCGGGTCGTTAAAATTAGCCTCTGTCTGTTTTTATAGCAACGGAGTAATTTGTTTCGGTCTAAAGAGGGGGCAATTGAGATTTAGAATCCGTGTTTCGAGACAGGTGAGAGCATTCACGTTGTGATATCTACGGGCTCTACTGACCACTTAGCACCAAGTAAGCCGTGAACTCGTTCACAAATCTGTGAGGTATATATAGAGGGACCAAATAACAGTAGCCTTGATTATTAATAACGTTTATTTAGGAACACGCCAAATATTCACCGTGCCCGGACTCATACAAACTGGCGTTACAAATCTGTTAACAAAAAATATGCGGAATCTTTATTTTGGATTCCGACTCCCAACTTTAACTTTTATTTTATTGCCCGTGTAGGCAGACGAGTATACAGCCCACCTAATGATGAGTGGTTACCGTCGCCCATCGACTCCAACAATATCAGGTGCAGAGGCAAGCCGCTGCCTACCGCTAGGTAAATATCTAATATTTATTAATTAGATAATTTATCTTCGGAATCAAAATGTACGGTTTCAAAATACGCGTTTCCATCACCAACGACAAAATTAAATTCTATAAAAGAATATCGAACTGACTTGGTGGTGCAGTCAGCGCCCCTGACTGTTGCACCCAGGGTCGTGGGTTAGATTCCCATAACGGACAAACGTTGCATGATGAACAGGTTTGTTTGCTCTCTGTCTGGGTGTTTGTTATCTATATATTCTTCTTCTCAGTCGAACACTCTTGGCGGAGTGGTCGTGGTTATTTATCTCTTATTGGTTGGTTACGGATTTTTCGATGCTTCTCTATCTCTCTCTATTTGTGGCGTTACGTGTACAATAACACTTAGTAGATAACATAATCAAGTCTCCACCTTGTGGGTGATCGGCCGCGAGAGCGTTGACCGTCTACTCTTCCTTGAACCATTAATCGTTCCAATGAGCTTTCTTTACGGATGATATGTCCAAACATATTAAGGATTCGCAATTGGACAATCGACGAAAGCCTTTGTTTGATTTGGAGCTCTTTTAGGATGGAATCATTGCAGTGAGCAGTCCATTTTATCCGCAACAAGCGTCTCCAGCACCATACCTCACTCAAGGGCGTCATTTTTTTACGACCCTTTTGATGGATCGTCCATGGTTCTGCTCCATATAGGAAAATAGGAAAAATTACCTCATTAAGCAAACCTTGGTGTTTTTAATTATGTGGCGAACTTTCCATATTTTTGTGAGCTTTTCCACGGCTGATCGTGTCTACATATATATTTATCCGTATATAAGTATATTTATTAGTATCTGGTATCCATAGTACAGGGAATCCTAAGTTCTGACCGGATGACCGTGCGTGATTTTTCCTTTTACACAAAAATATCTTACGTGACTAGAGTCCGCTAAAAACAGCCCTGAATTACATAAACTATACGCAGAACCGTTCAAAGTCATAACTTTTGAGTGTCTTTAGAAATCCATTCTTAGTCATTTTTGGAAATTGGCTTTGTATTGGAGAAACGTTACGCTGACATCTCACAAGTCGGTGAGTAATCTTCGGAAACAGGCAAGGTCAAATAATTGCACCATTTATAGATTTACGGAACGAAATTCCGTATACTGCTAGACCCAAAGGTCAGGGATACGAAAAGAGTCACGTTTGATTCAATACCACCAAACAAATTCAATTTTTTTTTTACATTTATATTTTAATTTAATATTTATACGAAAAAGTCGTAGTACGCCATCTGAAAAAATGTATCAACATATGTAGTTATAACCACAGCTTTATGTCTTAAAGTTCGCATCGGTATCTAAAAGCTCGGCTACTTGACTTGACCCAACGTGGGGTCGTCTTCATATCTTCGCTTACAAAACAAAACTCAGTATTGCAGTGGTTGCGGTAGTTCATTGTTATCATAACAAGAAAGCCATCATATCTCTTGAGAAGGAAATTTCATTTGTATTAAGTTGTCGTGGCCTACAGGATAAGACGTCCGGTGCATTCGTATTGAGCGATGCACCGGTGTCCGGGTACCAATTTTTCTGATGAAATACGTACTCAACAAATGTTCATGATTGACTTCCACGGTGAAGGAATAACATCTTGTAATAAAAATCAAACCCGCAAAATTATAATTGGCGTAATTACTTGTGGTAGGACCTCTTGTGAGCTCGCGCGGGTAGGTACCACCCCCTGTCTATTCTGCCGTGAAGCAGTCATGCGTTTCGGTTAGAAGGGTGGGGCAGCCGTTGCAACTATACTTGAGACCTTAGAACTTATATCTCAAGATTGGTGGCGCATTTACGTCGTAGATATCTATGGGCTCCAGTAACCACTTAACACAAGGTGGGCTGTGAGCTCGTTCACCCATCTAAGCAATCAAAAAAATATATTTTAAAACTGCTGACCCATAAAAGCACACTTGAACATTTTCGTTACCGTAGAAGTACTCTCGTACTGGTAAGGTAGATGGGAAAAGACCTCGGGGGCGCAGCCCAATACGTTGGTCCGACCAGATCCGCACCGCTCTTGATTCCACGTTTCACAACGCCCTCCACACCGCCAGAGACAAGAATGGATGGAGAAAAATCGTGCGTGCGAAGGTGATACAAAAGGGTGGTCACGACCCTCAGCAATGAGGAATACGACGCAAGGAGGNTTACCGTAGAAGTACTCCCAATAGTATCAGTATATAATACTGACCTTTATTACACTACGTGCCCTTCGCTTTATTCTAGTCCAAGCAGTATGATCCATCATTAAGCTGTCTGGTATAAAATAGTGTCTTTAAATACAATAAAACTTGCATAATTCTTAAGTTAAAATTAAATTGGTTCTAAATTTTCATCCATTCCTCCCACACACAACAGATTGTTATTTGGTGAAACTAGCAATCGCAGCCGCACACTTGATTCACGCTTACACGTCAATTGTCATGTTTAAGGTGGGACGAGATAGTTAAGCTGCCTATACATAAATAATAAACACGTAACATAATCAACGGTGACAACTTACGATATGTCGAGTCGTTAACTCGTAAACTTTTTCGGTAAAAATAATAATAGAAAAAGAATATTAATAACTCAACGCAGTATATGACAGAAGTTGTTAAGTATGCTAAGCGCATGAATGATTTATTTATCATTATATTATATTATTTTAAAAATATTATTTGGATTATATGTATGATAAAAACAATTCGTAGACTTGATAAAACTCTTTAAACACTGTGTTTATTATTATATTATTAAAATTTTTTAAAATTTATTTGAATTAGTATTATATTATTCAGTAAATTTTGAAAGTCAGAGGAAGTTTAAATGAATAATAATAAACACGAAATTAAAGATTAGAGTAATTTTAATTAAACGAAACGAACGTAAGAAAAAACTTATTAATTGTCGATAAAATGAGATTCAAATTCATAGAATTTTCGGTGTTTTGATTGATGGTCATTGAGCTATCAAAATTTACAATAAAACTTAACCGTCGACGATGACAAAATATGATTGCACAAAATTGATAAAATCAATTTGACAGAAATTGTAAGTTTTAGAAGATTTACACTAAAGTTTATGAACACTAAAGAAATGAAAAAAGCGCTTTCAATTTTATGTTAGGAAACAATAACGAATAGATTTTTATGTAATCTAAGTAAATCACATTAAATAAATTAAAGCACTTTCGAAGTCTTCCAGTTTAGAACACTTTCTCTGAAGGACTAGTATTAAATGCTTTTGGAGTCCATACTCATCATAATTTCCACCATTCCCCGGATATGTGGTCCTAAGTCT